GCCCGTCTGCAGTTTGCTAAAGATCATGTGGACAAGCCAGAGGACTATTGGAGAAATGTTTTGTGGACAGATGAGACCAAAATAGAATTTTTTGGTTTATATGAGAAGTGTTCTGTTTGGAGAAAAGAACACACTGCATTCCAACATAAGAACCTCATCCCATCTGCGAAACATGGTGGTGGTATTATCGTGGTTTGGGCCTGTTTTGCTGCATCTGGGCCAGGACGACTTGCCATCATTGATGGAACAATGAATTCTTAATTATACCAGCAAATTCTAAAGGAAAATGTCAGGACATCTGTCCGAGAACTGAGTCTCAAGAGAAACTGGGCCATGCAGCAAGACAACGACCCCAAGCACACAAGTCATTTTCCCAAAGGATGGTTAAAGAAGGACAAAGTTAATGTTTTGGAGTGGCCGGGTCAGAGTCTGGACCTTGATTCAATTGAAATGTGGAAGGAGCTGAAGCAAGCAGTTCATAGGAGGAAACCCATAACATCACAGAGTTGAAGTGGTTCTGTACTGAGGAATGAGCTAAAACTAATACAAGATGTTGTGCAGGACTGATCAGCAGTTACAAGAAACTTTACCTGCAGTTACTGCTGCAAAATTGGGTCACACCAGATACTGAAAGCAAATATTCACATACTTTTGCATATATATATATATATATATATATATATATATGTGTGTATGTATTTATGTACACAGTGCTTAAATTGATTAGACCACCTGAGACCACCTTTAGTCTTTGAAACGCTCCCAATGGAGCAATGCGTATTAGGATAAAATAGCTCCGCCCACTTCCGGCCTCAGACTGTTGGCCTGGCGCTACTGTCCTCAGATCGCTGTGACGTCATAGGGTTCTGCGGTTCTGCAGTTAGACCCTTCTCGAACCAATGAGCATTAAGCTGTAACTCGGACACTTTTCTAACCGCATGCATCAGTTCTGTGCAGATTTTGCTCATCTCAAACAAGCCTATTGCCTAAGTTGTGTGGGGTAGGAATAAGCGCGATCTGGGTCACAATCCGTCACAATCGTGTTGCATTGTATGGGAAGCCAAACAACCCAAAAGTGGGACGAAACAGCGCGGTATTAAAGCTTTCGCGCCGTGCTGACCTTTCATTGGCGCGGCTCAATGGACCGAGTATGGCAAGCCAGAGTATTCATATACGCCTGGTCGGGCGTCTGATTCTACACTGACGCATCAAAAGTGTGTGATCTGACAGCAAAACACGTGTCCTCTACGTGTAATTTGCCATAAAATTCGCGTTCTTAATGTGCGCTTTGGGTTCACGGAAAACGCTCGACGGAAACGTGTGTTTTTGTATCAATGCATGATGCGTGCTTTGGAGTCTCTAAAAAACGTGCGTTTTTGATGTGCGTTTATCATAACAGAAATGGGTGTCGAATACGTGCGTTTGGTCTGACTCAATTATTACGACTGAGAGGAAAAAATTATATGTATGTGGCAGCAATGCCTTAACGTAATACCCCATATAGCGGACAAACATGACAGACTCAAGCCCTATAAAGTGAGCACACGCTTTCGACGTGCAGTTTTGAGAACACTAAGGAAAGAGCACGTTTTTTTTCGCCTATTTGGACACTTCAAACAGATGTTTGCGCTGCCTGTTTGGTTTACCTGTTTACACGTTCATAACGTGTGTTTTGTCCGACTCAAAATGCACGTATTCTACATTTCCGTTATGATAAATGCATGTCAAAAACGCACGTTTTTTGGTGACGTTTTTTTACAGCAAATCACAAGTCGAGCATTTTGATACAAAAAACAAACGTTTCCGACGACAGTTTTCCATGAATCCAAAGCGCACTTTAAGAACGTGTGTTTTTATGGCAAATCACACATCGAGGGCGCGCGTTTTGCTGTCAAATCGCACGCTTTTGACGTGTCAGTGTACAATCAGACGCCCGACCAGGCGTATATGAATACTCTGGCTTGCCATATCCGAGCTGCGCGACCGACTCGACAGCGCAGAGAGGACGTGTTTACTAGCGCCACCGAACTGACAGCACGGTGCAAACTAATCTCAGTTACAACAGTGCAGCGCGAACATTACTCTCAGCAGAAGTTTGTGTTTTTTCCTGCACGTAACATAATGAAGATCAGCATTAAGTTATTAGATTTCTTTAATTTAACATTTAAATTAACATTTGTCTAATATGAAAGATAATAAGCAAAATAAATGTAATAACTTAATACTGATCTTCATTATGTTACGTGCAGGAAAAAACACAAACTTCTGCAGAGAGTAATGTTCGCAAGTAATGTGAACACTTTAATACCGCGCTGATTCGTCCCACTTTCGGTGTGTTTGGCTTCCCATAGCATTGTGGTATGTAGAGATGCTTGAAGTGCATGAGTGAGTCGACTTGCTCCCACCGTCAGAATTGAGGGGTCGATGAAACTTCTCTCCCTCTCTTGACGAAGTGTGAAACGCACTTTAAAATGGCGGCAGGGATTTACCCAAGTTTTCTAGTGTGTTGGTGGAATGCAGCCGCGAAGTTGAAAAGACCTTAGGTGGGGTTTTTTGACCAGCAAACAACCAACCACCAAAAGTACCCTACTAACCGCAAAGCACTAAAAACCACCATACCAACCGCATATATGATTAATTGTATTAATTTATCAAAGACATTTTAGTGCATTAAAAATGCTTTGCATTATTTTTTGTGCTGTGAAACGATTAATTGTGATTAATCGCATCCAAAATAAAAGTTTTTGTTTACATAATATATGTGTGTACTGTATATTCTTATATTTTATATTATAATATACATATTATAATATACATATATAAATATGTAACATGTAAACATAACATATTTTTCTTAAATATATGCATGTGTTTGTATTTATATATAGGCCTACATAAATATACACAGTATACACACATACAGTATGTAAACAAAAACTTTTATTTTGGATGCAATTAATCGTTTGACAGCACTAATTATTTTTAGGATTAACATACCCCTTCAGACTTGATCACCCATGTTTTTCCTCAGGTGGCAGTTCATGAGATGGAGCAGGTACAGGTCTTCTCTATCCCTCATAAGTTTGTATCTGGACTTTGAAACCAAGTTCAAGGTGAGATTTACTGTCTATTTCTCTGACTCAATGATTAGCATTTTGTGGTTTAGCTGTGTCCCTCTTCTGAGAGCTAAAGCTGTTTAGATGCTGACCAAACAAGAATGGTTGATTATAGAATGAATAGTATTGTTCACTTGAATTGCTGATTGGGCAGTTCATATCTTGAATTTTGGAGGCGCTTTTATTAATGTTGCTGGTATTTTTGACCTTATCATTCCAGTGCTAGCCTAGCTTGCTTGTTGTTAAGCATAACTTAGGTCTGTTGCTTAAGTTAGGCTGGCTGTATTGAGGTGTTTTAATAGTGTTTTAATTTCACCACAGTAACGAGCAGTGTCAAAGTTTAGGGCAAACAATACCATTACCTGGCTGTCACAGAAGACAGGTCAGGAAGATGTGGATATAGCTCTACAGGGGGCGTGATTTGTGTGTGTACATTATTATTATTATTATTTTATTTTATTTTTTTACATTTTCCATGTCTGTTTTACTTCAGCACATAAATAGTAAATCCAGTGAAACTTGTAATTTTGCAGTGGTCTCCAAATTTATTTTTTAGAACTGTACAGTGAGATGTATATTATCATAGTAAAGTGTTTTGTGTAGGGCAGGAGTCAAACTGTGAGCATCATATGAGCGGGAATGGAAAAAAAACACCTTTAACCACACGTTATTCACAAAGACGCACTCCTGACACTTCAGACACACTTTCACAAGAGACTTCTACATCAGTAGAGCAGATGCAGTTGACACATCCTCATGCACAAGCTGTTTGTCAGCCCAACAGAATAAACATGTCTGTACAGAATGAAGCAGGATTTACTTTGACTACTTTTCATGATCATTTTGCATCTGTGTTTGAGATGTACTCGCTGAATTAGTTTTAAAACTTTAAAGGCATAGTTCAAAAATTGTCATCATCTACCCACCCTAACATTGTCCCAACCCCATTAAGGCTTTTGTTTATCTTCAGGACACAAATGAAGGTATTTTTAATATTCTCTAGTCATATTTGTCCATCCATTTATAGTCCACACTAATCTAATCTAATCTAATCTAACATCAAATACATCAAAATACAGTTCATAAAATTTGGAAACTCAAACCTGAACGTTTGATACAAAAGAAATGGTGAGGATTGTTCTTGTACATCGAGTCTTAAATGATGAAAGAATTATGGGTGAACTAACCCTTTAAGAGTCTTAAGTTTGTATATCATGTCCTCTGTCTAAATTTTTAGTAAATGCTACATTTGGTGATTCTCATCGATCCTAAAACTTCAAACTCTGAGGTAGGAGTTTCCAAGTGAAAGTGATCACACAGCTGGATCTGGTACTTAGTACAAGTACTCTTTTTGACTGACATTTGATCATCATCTCGTGGTGACAGGCGCATACACCACATGATCCTCCTCTTTAACTTTCTGTAAAAAAAACACATTACACAAGATATAATAATAACAAATTATTATATTAGAAATGTGGCATCCTCAAAATCTTTACCTTCCTTTTACTGTTAAGCTAACATGTGGCAGATTGAAATTCTCAGTGGTTTCAATTCAAGCACTACATTTTACATTGGACATCAAGTGGTATAAAAATACATTGTTTATAATCAAATATTGGCATGAGGTAATATTATTCACTGTCAGAAAAAAAAGGTGCAAAACTTGTGTCTTTATGGGTACAGCTGCTTATCACTAGTACTGTTCCCTCAAAAGGACACCTTAGTACCTTCTGTACATCTGTAGTATTTTAACATACCCTTAAAGTAGTAATACATATTCTTAAAGTACTACTGTGGTTGCACCATGAACTGCACAGACATACCAATATTCAAAAATATAAACATGATGTAAGCTGAATAGGAAAATTGACAATTTTGTTAATGCATAAATAACAGCAGAAGTGTGACCCTCTTTGAACAGACTTGTGAAGCTTTCTGACTTCAGTGGTTCACATAACAGTAAAATTGCTCGGTAGCTCACCTGGTACAGCATTGCACTTGCAGTGCAAAGTGTTTGGGTACGAGACCTGTGAAACATTAGTCACAATAAAAGAGCTCAAAGACTTGTAGAAGCTAGCTAAAATGAAATGCTTGCTTCTTTAATCTCACGTTTGCTTTTTTTTAACGCTTTTGGTTTAGTGTAGGTGGAACATTATTTTCAAATGCGTTAGAACATTAACCTTTAAGTGCCACTCACTGGACATTTCATTTCCAAACTGACGTGATATGTACACCATTTTGGCACCATCATGTTTATCCGTTTCTGAGAAAATGTAATGTGCTTTTTGGTGCTCTGGACATTACACTTTGTTTGGAAACGTGCAAGCAATGTAATATCATTTTTGCAAAAATTTCTTTACTGGCTACAACAACAGGCATATTTTTATTTTTTATTTTTTTTAATGAGCCTGGGTTGTTTAATCCTTGTGTAGAAATGTTTTCTTATTACAGTTTTTACAGTTGACAGCAAAGTTTAGCCATCTTCCACTTATTTTTGAGTGCTATTGACATTGAATGATGATCTTGTGACTTTTATAAAAATCTGATGAGAGATTGTTTTACAGACAACAACAGAAGCGCACACATCTAAATCTGACTCACTGCTGACTTGACACGGAGATTAAATGGTCTTACCGATTGGGGTTTTCGTTTGTGGAATGTTGGATCAATGTAAGTGATCTCTTCTTCACAACTCTGAACTGTTTAAACAATAATAACAGATAAATTAAAACAACTCAATCTTAACTAGATATGTTTCCTTACAACATCAAGGCTCAAATACAAGCATTAATGCACACAATTTAACAAATATTTAATGCTGCATTTAAAAAAATGTCAAATACAAGCATTAATGCACACGATTTAACAAATATTTAATGCTGCATTTAAAAAAATGTCAGTAAATAATTTATTCAGCTTGACATTAGGACTGTTTCACACACAAAGTTCTTAGCAGAGTAAGCAATAATTGTTTAGAAATTCTTCACATGTCATTTTCATTGAAGCACAACAAGCGAGACCCACAAATGAAACATTGTCATTCATAGAGATGTTCATTTGAACACCAGCTGAGTGATTAAATTATAATTATGTTCTGTGGACGTTTGTTCATTATTTCTGTTTCGTTTTGTCCCTGTTTCTCATTGGTTTAGTTACTGTTTACTTAATTGTCCTGGCGACTGACTGCTTTAAAAGCAGTAGGAAACACTTGCCTTCTTGATCAGTTTTTCTACATTTCCTGTAGATGCAGAAGATCACGACAGCAGAGACAATCAACAGAGATCCAGCAGCAGCAGAGATCAGCACTATGTACAACATGGGTAGGCTCTGATCTGCAATGAACAAAATGATTTATTAGTGTTAGTGAATGTGTCTGATCTATAAATAAATCAGAGATGAGCTCAGTAAATAATCAGTAATATCAGCGCTGCTGTACCTGAACATGTGAGACAGAGTTTTCTGATGTCCAGATGTGTGGTCTGGTTGCTGATGGGATTGTTGAGCACACAGCTGTAGGTGTTTTTATCCTGATATTCCACCTCCAGAGGTAGAGAGAGACTGATGCTGAGATCAGACACACTGATGCTGGACAATAAACTGTTTCCTTTGTACCAGGAGAGAGTCACATGACCCACATTCACCACTGAACACACCAGTGAACAATATGATGATGATGATGATGATGAACAGGTTGAAGAGTTATTGCTGATGACAGGAACAGGCAGACGAGCTGGAAACATGACAGAATAAAGAGAAACTTTAACATGCTCAGTGAATGTTTAGTGTAAATAGTTAATAAAACAAGAATACACAGAGCACACGACATCTCTACTCACCATAGACAGATACATTGAATATTTTTGTTAACAGTTTTGCTCCAACTATCTCTAGTTGATAAACTCCAGCATGTTCAGATGTGATGTTTGTGATGGTCACAGATCCAGTTTTATTGTCCAGCTTCAGTCTGTCTCTGAATCTCCCATCAAGAACATCAGATATGGAGAAGATTTGTTTGTTTCTTTTGATATTCGCTATGAGAGACTTTTCAGCTCCCAATGACAACACTATCCTGTCGTCTTTGCATTCAGTAACATCAGTGTTTAGAGTAACAGAATCTCCCTCCATCACTGACACTGAATGTATTTCATTTGCTTCAGCACCAAACACACCTGATGAACATGGACAAAGCTCCCTTTAGTTTAAAAAGCATTAAATCAGCGGTAGATTGTATTAAATATAAAGAAAATAATATCCAGAACAGCAGCAGATACTTAGTGTATTTTAAACATGCTGTACTGCTGTACAGTAAATGCAATGTGGGAAGTTACATAATTTACATAAAAAAATACATTACAAAATACATTTCTACTTTAAAATTTCACGTTTAATTCAGTGTGTTACTTTCAGTTTCTTTGTACTTTTTTCAAAATTTACTAGAAATTTCTGAGCAAGAGAAATTTACAATCACAATAGAAGGCCTGGAAATGTAAAATTCCGAGCAAAAAACAGAGACCTCAGCGGATGAAAATAATCTAATTTAAACTAGAAGCAGTAGCTTTATTACCCTCAAATGTAAAGAAATTAAACGTTAAAAAAAAAAAGATTTTAGAACTTACCAATCAGACGGCACCAGCACAAACAGAATAAAACAAACACATGAAACATGTTCTTTAACGGCTTAGTGAAAAGTCTGATCTAATAAGACTGTACTCAACCTGTTAATCTGGTTTGTGAATCCTCCCCCGGCAGAGTTTGTCCCTCCTAATGCAGACGTACATGCTCTGAACGCGTTTAAAAAAATGTATATATAATATTAATAAAATGTTTGTATAAACTTCATAATGTTGGGAAAAATCTACATTTTTATAATGTAACATTTTTTTTATAATATAAGTTTTTTTGTTTAAAACATGTTTTCCAAGTTTTTTTTTTTTTTTTTTTTTAAGTAATATATTTGTTTATTTAATTATTCAGCACAGAAACACTGAGAATTCCTGTTTCAAATAAATTCTGCTCTTATAAATTGTTTTATTATTCGGAATCATTTTAAGAAAATCTTAACCCCAAACATTTGAACGAAAGTAAAATTTAGTCCAAACGTATCTGTTAATTGTAAAACTTTTACAGATCCCGTTCTCCAAGTTTTTCCTTTCCAGCCGGGGAAGAATACAAGATGACCAGCATGTCCTCTGGTTAGATAAGGTCAGCATGGCTTTTGTGTCCTCATAGTTTATCTAGTAATGAGCATTTAATATTTGTTATTTTTCTCTGATGATATATTGCATTGTGATGCAAATTCATTATAACATACTTTAGACTCTTAAATCAAATCTTTTGTGTGTCCTTAGGTAAAGAGTATTGGTTTTACATTGGGGGATAAATCAGATGGCCCATTTCAGCTTGAGATTGACTTCATTGGTCTGTGCAATGACCTTGCCCACACAGAGGAGTTTGCATATGAGCTTTACAAGAGAAACCCAGAGGTCTAGTTGGATTAAACAAGATTCAGCAATCGTAGATAACAGACAGACACAGCTTTATTACTAAAAAAACTTAATTGGACATTTTTTGAAGGCTGAAATCTTTTACACATACACACACACACACACAAATTACCACATTTAAGACAAAGTAGTACAAAATGATAATTTATGAATATCGCTCAAGTTCAAATAAACATTTTGTGTGACCAGTGTTTTGAGTGACTTTACTGTTTTTGTCTTTACAATAAATTGAAGCCCAGTGCAAATAACCATTCATACTAAATAAAATGCATAAGAAGCAAACACTTTCTTTTCACACATAAATCAAAAACAATTTAAAAACTATAAAACGTATATCTATAAATGGATTTAAAAAATGAAAGCTTTTGTTGGATGACCTAGCAAAAAAAAAAAAGCTTTT